TGCCGCACCACACGGATGTGCGTTTATTATAGCGTTATATATATGGGTGTTTGTGGGTAAGGTGCTTTTTTTTGGGTGGGTGGGTGCAAGGTGAACTGCATATGATGTGCTTGAATGTCAATCAGCAAGAAGATCTGACTGTAACGAATTATTGAGGAACTAATTCATAAAATCTCAGCTAGAAAATCTGAACTAATTGAAAGTCGGCGCGGGTGCCGGTCCAACCGCCAGCGGACACTTCGCCAGCGACGCTCCTTTTGCTCGCCGACGTCAGTGAGCTTGCTACTACAAAAGCCGAAGACGTCCACCCTTCCTCCCCCTCCCCTGCCCCTCCTTCCCCTCCCGTTGTTGCCGACATGCGTGGGCTGCCCCCGCCGTCGTGAACTAATTGAAGAAAATGTCCTATACCTCACCTAGAAAATCTCAGCTCTATTTCTGGGTAAAAACGCGAATTACATTGGCTCCACAATACCATACAGTCCACCCTGTACCCAAGTCCATCCTCATTTTTTCTATCTGATTCATGACTATCCTCAACCAGGTGGGGCAGCAGCTCCTATTGCCGTACATATGCTCTGTTGAGTGCTCTCAGCCCCTCTTCTAGTCATTTTTTGTGTTGTTAGATGCCAGAATAAACGAAGGTTTTCTGTGGCAGTAGCTTATTCTGCTTCTTCTAGTGGACCCAATAATATAGGCGTAGAAAGTTCAGGCCACGGTTGGCTGTAAGGAAATGTATTATGCATGTCCACAATGTTATTGTGCTTTTGCACTTTCGTTACCCAGGATATACTTGTACCGGAACGAGTAATACAGCTCAAAGCTCACGTCCGAGAATATCCTAGAGTTCCAGCGCAGTTTATAATTGGTCCAAATTTTTTTTTTTTTTTTTTTTTTTTTTGTAATTGAGGTATACATCAAGAGGCAATGCATACAACAATAGCAGTCGTAACTGAGCGTGAGGGCAAACACCTTGCGCTGCCCAGCTGGGTGACTAGGGCGGTAGGTGAGCCCTCCTTGGCCTGTTCCAGATTGCTGCAAAGTTGGCATTCCACGTCCACTTTTTGTCTCCTGCCTCCCTGATTCTTGACAGCATCTTTTGTTCAGCTTCAAACACTCCTCTGACCCTCTTATACGTCCCCGAGCTGCCCGGCTTCAAACATTTTGCCCCCGTCACCCTCGTGTACACCCTCGCATGCAGCCTGAAAGCTGCACCAATCCTCCTGAGCACCCGTCGTGCCCTGAACTTCTGCCCCCGAAATCTTGCATCACAACGCTTCACCCAAAGTTGGTGGAAGGTGATGGCGGTTAGTGTGGCTTCTGGAAAGTCCGATGCAGTTCCGATTTCCTTGAACAGTAAATCTCCCAGCGAGGCGGGGGCTCTCCCGGGGTTGAGCATGTGCAGAGCACGGCGCAACCCAGATACCACAGGTTGAATTACAGGGCATGTGAAAAGGCAGTGGTCATGGGTTTCCGTCTCCCCGCAGTACGGGCATTTGGGGTCGCTGCTGAGAAAATCCACTCTCTCCCCAACCTGCAAGTTTAGGTTGTGAATCCGTGTGAAAACATCCCGCGATCGGCTCGCGATAGTCAGTGAGTTGCGGGTGCGAATGATGCGACTCCAATCTATCTTCCCACTCCACCTGCCGGACCACTTGGCCTGCTTCACCAAGACTGCTTCAGGCTTGGCCCAGGTCTCTCTCAACTGCTTCAAGGGGGCCAACTGCCCATCCGAAAAAACTGCCGAGCGGAAGATTGTCGCAGCTGCATGTACCCCCACAGTAGGCACGTCAGCAGGGGGGGGCACCTCCCCTTCTTCTTCCTCCCTCCCCTTGCCTGGAACTAAGAGGGTTTTCCACTCTTGCGGCGCTGCGTCAAAGGCCTTGAGAGCCAGCCGAGCCGAGTCCCTGCTGCGCAGTTCCTTCTCCAGTGTGTCAATATCCTTAATCTCAGCACCACCGTCACGCGTGGTAACAACTAGATCCCCTAGCCGCGTTTCCCATAGGCCTTTCGCCTCCTTTTGCCCTCCGACCGGGTTCGTGCCGTTCATCAGCAGCTTCCGATTGAAAACGACTCTTTCCTGCGCCACCTCTGCTCTGCTGCGGGAAGTCCCCGTGTCAGCAATAGGCGATTTCATGAATGTTTCGCACGCCCGTCTCCACCGCTCGCCATCCCCTGGCCAGTGTTTCAGTAGCCTCTCATGTGCGAGAAAAGTGTCCTCCCCGAGAGGAAGACCGGCCGCTGTGAGCATTATCTCTTTCTTCTTCCCATTTCCCTCCAGCAGCAGCCCACCGATCCTTCGCGCGGCGAGGCAGGCCAGCAGTATCTCTGGGTCCAGCACGCCCAACCCTCCGTCGGCCTTTGGCGTGGTGAGGAGACCCCAGTTCCACAAAACGAATCCCTTTTCCGCCGATGCGTTGTTCCCCGTCAGAAAATTGTGCACCAGCTTCATGAGTTTTTTCCACATGTCCTCGGTTGGTGGGTAGACTTGCGTCTGATACACTATCCTCGGGGTGATGTAGCAGTTGATGATGACCACCCTGGCCGCGATCGTGAGAAAAAGGGCCTTCCACTTAATTAGTTCCACCGTAATTTTTTCGAAAGCCCGCTTCCAGGTCGGCTCGCTGTTACCAGACGGGGTAACCCACACACCCAAGACGTGTTCTGCTTCATCCGCCTTCGCCCATTTAAATCCGCCAAGCGTTCCCAGCCTCCGCCCAAGATTGTGACCGATCGGGAGGACGACCGATTTGTCTCTGTTCGTCTTAGTAAGCTCTCGCGAAGAAATCCATGAGTTTTCAGCTCTCGCGATTTGCCTTTTCCTGTCCAAAAAAAATGTCGTGTCGTCCGGATATCCGACGTACACTAACCGTTGATTTGCCTTGTTGCAGAGACCTAGCTTCCGCCGAACTGCTTCCTGGGCCAGGGGCTCCACCGCACAAAGAAAGAGGTAAGGAGCCAGAGGACAGCCTTGCCGCACCCCAGAATTGACGTTCACCGCTTCGCCCAGCCAGCCGTTTAATCAGGCCTTCCATCCAGCCGACAAACCTCTCCGGGAAACCCATTTCTCGGAGGATCGTAAAGAGGAAGCTCCTGGACACTGAGTCAAACACCTTGCGGAAATCTACCAGCAGCATGTACCAATCCTTATTTCCTTTATTCGCCGCCTCAATCACGTCGGCAACCACCCCGATCGCGTCTGAGATACGCCTGCCAGGTATAAAGCCATACTGCTCCTCCGAGATCACCTTATGTAGTATAGGCTTAATCCAGTCCGCTACCACACGCGCCAACACTTTGTAGTTAAAGTTGAGAAGGGTGATCGGGCGGTGGTTATCCAGGTTGTCCTTTTCACCTTTTTTATGTAGCAGAATGGTCACCGCCTCCTTTATGCTTGCAGGTAAAGATGCGGTGTCAGCGAAAGACCGCGCCATCCGGAGGAACTCCTTCCCCAGGACGTCCCAGTTTCGTTCAAACAGCTCCTTCGGGAGACCGTCTTTACCGGGGGACTTGCCGTTCGCAAGCGCCTTAAACGCCCCCTTCACCTCTCCTTCCGTCCTGCGTCTAGCCCAGCCGCCGCTTCCGCATCCAGCCGCTTGCCAGGAAGCGGTTTCCATCTCACTGACGACGTTCGCCCGTCCTCGCCAAAAATATCAGTGAAGTATTTTGTCGCCGCTTTGAGAATGCCAGGTGAGTCAAAAATCTTGTTCCCGTCGACAACCAGCTCCGCGATCTGCGTTTTCTGCTTCCTTACTTTGATTCGCGCCGAGAGAAAAGGAGAGGGGACCTCTCCCGCCAGCTCCTTGTTCGTGCCCGTCATCACGTGCAATCTGTCTCTCCTTGAAGCATGGTATTCCCGCAGCTGCGTTTCCCTGACGAGCAGCAGGTCCCTTGTCCTTTGACATGCAGGATTCCGCATCTGCTCCTGATGCAACTCCGCTACCACCTCTGCCAGATGCGCTGTAGTCCTCTTCACCCGCTTATTCTCCTCCTTCATGTACGAGCGTAGCCCTGCGTTCAGCCTCCCCAGCAGCAGTTCAAAATCCTCATCGCCTTCTTCAGCTGCCTTGGTAAGCGCAGCTTCAACAGCCTTCCGGATGCCGGGCCTTCCTATCGCAGCAGCGTGCAACCTCCAGATGCCAGGGCCCAGGTGAGTGGAGGCTTTAAGCTTGAAAGCTATTTTGATTCCAAAGCCATGGTCTGAGATGTATTCTTCCGGACGAATGTGTGCAGCTATTTCTAGGTGCGGCAACAACGAGCAGGAAACAAGCGCGCGGTCTATGCGAGAGCTGGATTGTTTCGAGGCGGCGTAGAAGGTGTATTCGCAGAGCTTGGGATGAAGGGTACGGAAAGCGTCAGAGAGCTCGAAACGGCTACAGCGCGAGATAAGTTTGTCATTCTCAAGCGACGTGCCGGATTGTGAGGTTCTATCTAATGTGGGGTCTTCCACTGTGTTCAGGTCTCCGATAAGGACTACATGCGCGGTAGGGGGGATCTGATCAAAAGCGGGACCTACAACGTTGGCTAAGAACGAGCATCTGTCGGCTGCATCATCTGGGAAATATGCGGCGATAAGGGTTAAGGTGAAGCCAGAACGGCTGACGGTGACAAATATCAGCCTTCCTGAAGGGTGAGTGGTAATGTTACGGAAGAGAATGGCTGGATCTCTGGTAAGGACTGCAACTCCACCGGCTTTGTCTATGTTTGGGGTAGTGAGAACTGAAGAAAAGGCAGGCGATTTCTAGTATGAGTGATCGTCTGGGAGTCTGGTGTCAGAGAGGATAAGGATGTCAGCGGCTGTGCGTGTCCATGTGGTTACTCTGTCTTGCTTTATTCTGTCGCCGAGGCCATTGACGTTCAGGCCCGCTAAGGAGAGGAAATTTCTGTTACTCATTTAATCACCGGATGGCAGCCCCTGTTCATCCACAGGCTGGTAAGGGTCACTACACTAACAACGGCACTCGAACCAACAATGGCTAACAGCACTCGGTTCTCGCTTAGTCTCAGAGTCCATAGTCTTTCTTCAGATGAGCAAGGTTCAGCTTGTCCAGCGAGGCTTTGGTAGCAGTTCCAAGCTTCTCCAGGTTCAGCAGATGGGACGCGGAGACAATGTGTTCCGCAGCAGCCATGAAAGTTTTCCCCTTCGTCTTCCCACAGCACACTTGCGTGCAGATCCATTCCTCGCGGCTGCTGCCGGTGGAGACAAGTGCGATGGCTGGATCTTTGAGGATGGGAGTCATTAAGGCGGAGGTACTCAGGGAGGCAGCTGCGAAAGCAAACAGGTGCGTCAGTGTAAGGCGAAGAGGGTAAGATGGGATTACAGGGATTAAAAACGCCGCAGTTACCATTGATACAATGGATTTTCCCCAGGGTTAAGTTCCACTTCCCTATGTTGTTCTGCCGCTCTGTGACGAACAGATGATGATGGATGTCATAATGCTATCCTCCACAAAGCAGGCATGACAATGCAGGGTAGTGGACCAACAGCTTCGCGCCAGGCTCCATCGGGCTGTCGACGGTATGACGCCAGCGGTAGCGGTCACCAGGGTGCTGAACCACCAGCCCTTTGATCACATCGGTATCTGCTCTGGTAAGCGGGTGAGCCACGCGGTGGAAGGCGAAGCCTTCCATGAAAGCTGACTGCTTCCTCATCTTCAGCTTGAAACGGACCAGCAAATCCTTCAGCACATCCGGGACCACGTTAGCAGGAACACGTTTGAAAAGTACTTCAATAGCGAGAGGATGAGCAGCCTTCTCCTTTAGGTAAGACAGGTCCTCCGTGTGCTGCCAGATACACTTGATCGACGGACTGTTCGTCTTCTGGTACTCGAAAACATGGAACTTGATGTGGTGAGCATCGCGTTCGTCGAGGAAGGATATCTGCAGCCGACATAACCGCGTCTTGGCCACAAAACCAGGAGTCATCTCCTGAATGTTCGCCGTAACACCGGCATTCGGAGTCAGAGACGAGCACCACACTTTCTGCATGAGGAGACGTACTGCAACAATAATGGCTTTAATCTCCTGAGACAAAACCATCGGAATGAGTAAGATCGCGGTGTAACGAAGGCGAAAAGCATCTTCCTTTGCGATATCAATGTCTAACTCCTCATCAGAGTCATCCTCCAAAAACTGTTGTTCCACCATTGTAGCAGGCTGACTCGACTGAATCTTATCTTCAACGGAAAGATCGGAGCTGCCGGCGACCGGAGCAGGTAATGTTGACGTGGAGACAAAGGTTGCCGCTGCAGTCTCATTGTTCAGAGCCGTGTTGATCTCATCTGACACGATATGCTTGTCCGCAGGCTCCCTTTCAGGAACAAGTTGGTTGACATCAGACTGGTCGACGACAGGCTGATCGACCTCAGGCTGGTTGGCGTCAGGAGGAGGAGCGTCAGCTGAAGCCTTCGCCGAGCGACCCCTGGGAGCCATGGTGCGATGATGAAGCAAAGATTGCAGCAGAGGGAGAGCCTGAGACTCACTGGTGATGATAGAAGCAATTGACGCTTCCGCTGCCTGACTGCTGAGCACCATCTCCTTAAGTAGTTTCCTTGTTGCCATGGACTTGCATTCCTGATCGAAATGATGCGTTCCCGAGGTAAAAGCCTTGGGAACATGCCTTGATAATGTCTTGAAATAGTTGTTGATATTGCCAAAAAGTGTAGCATGATGCTGTTGTCGTGGAGATCTTAAAAACCATGTAAGACTTGCGATAGAATCAGGGAGCCTTGGGATGATCTTGGCTTGAGATATGTTTGTAACCGCGAGCCTGACCTGAGCAGCGAAGGTTACAATGTCTGCGTAGTAGACATAAAAAATGTATCCTCTGCTTAAGAATGTGCTCATGATAACGGATCTGAAGTCGTAGTTACCAACTGACACGTAGGCCCTGTTCGATAGGCAGCCACCTCCTTGCAGGGCTAGCGTTAGGCTAGCGTTTGGAGGAGGGTTCGGAGAAATTTTTGAAGGGCTGACCCCCCACCCCCTCGAGATCGGAAGCAACCCATCCCGAGATCGGAAGGAGGGGGTTGTCTCTGCGATGTTGCACCCCCTCCTTCCACCATCGTCATCGTGGGCAGGGTCCGAAATTTTACACCGCTCCCCACTTGAACCTGGGTAAATCAGGGGTGAAAAACAAACCCACAAATCCCTCACGCGTCAAGAGGAGGGGGATTTTTTCAGGGCAGAGATGGGTGAGGTTGGAGCATGGGCCCTGCTAGGAAAACTTTCATGAGGTATGGGGTGGGTATCCCCTCTCATATGGAACCCTAGCCTATGCCTTGGCCAACCCCCATTTTGGGGGTGCGAGGGCTGGGCTGGAGCTAGGCTAACCTCTGTGCGTGTGAGAAGGGACTTGGAGCTTTCGTGGGGGATGATTTTGAAGGGTTAAAAGTAGCGTTCGACAGGCTAACACTAGCCCTCCAGGATCCAGAGCGTTAAAACCCCGTGACACCAAATTACGGGCTGACCGTGGAAACAAATCCTAATTCGAAACAGCCGCGATGATTCCGCGGGCGTTAGTGTTAGTAGCCTATCGAACAGGGTCGTAACCTTCACGTAACAGGCTTCCGAAGTTACGCGGAGGAATCCATGGCGGACTCATGGCTTGTTCGTGAGAACAATGGTGCTGTTCGCCAGCACCAATGAAGCAAAAAACCATGGGATAATGACGGGATCAGGAAGGTGGGTCTCGCCTTCCTGATCCCGTCAGTTAGGGTTCGTTTACCTCCGTCAGCCTGGTCAGCCCGTAAAAAAGGTGTCGAGCCTCCCCAATCGTCCAAATGTACAATCAAAGTGGGTGTCTGGCGAATGCCCCCATTTGTCCACCAAAACGAACTGCTCGATGGCATATGGAAGCGGGGACGCAACTTCATCCTCAGGCAAAGTTCTATCCCCAAGCCATGCCATCGCCATGCCGCGTTTTTCGAAGCACAGCGATGGCACAGCCGTCGCATTGCCGTTCAGAGGGGAACCTCTGAACAAGCCATTTGTTTGACAAAGGGGGGTTCGAATACCCTCCATTTTTCCCCTCCCGAACACACCTTGCGAGTGGATTGAGTACGAGGGGTCTCGGGGGTTGTATTTGAGATTGGTTTGTTTTATTTTTTTTTGCTCTTGTTACCCTGGTTCGTTTTTGGCCCTCGGTCTGGCACTGGTCAGTGGCGCGTAAAATTCGCGCCACTAGATGAGGAAGGTGGGGCTGGGGGTTCCATATGCGGTTGTGAAATTTCCTGTTTTGGGGATTGAAGTTTCGCGGACCGCATTACGCCCAGACCTCTTGGGCGGGTTTCGACCCCGGTTCCGGATGTGGTCACCATGCCGATGCCACCAAAATGCCGTCGTTTTCTGAGTTGCTGGCGAACACCGCCAATATAATTGGTCCAAAGCGGTATAAGGGCAAACGGTATGGTATGTGCATGTTGATACTTGGCTGAGTGCGTTTTCATGTGAGCAATTCGAGGTACAGCGCGTTTTTTAACATTTGAGCAGTTCTGTGAGTTTGAGTGTTGCGAATCGACGACGCACAGCTGGATCCTGATCCTCATACTTCATCCCACTCGTCAAATTCCCTAGGTTCGAGATTCCAGAGCAAGCATAGATATTTGGGATTCTCCTGCTTCATGGCCGTGTGGGCCTAGATTTCTCCAACTATTTCCATACCTATAGCTCGTGCTTCTGCTATATGGCTCTTCCTTTGTAGCGCGCCACGTGGCTGCACAGCGCTCTCCCGCAATGGCAAACGAGAGCGAGGGAGCGGCTCCTACAAGAACCGAGAGTACGCTCACCGTCATTGGTCCAGCTGGCAGGTCGTTATCTGACGCGAAAATCACGCACGTTATCTTCGACCTGGACGGCACGCTGATAGACACTGGTACGGCACATTCGTCTTTTAAGGCGCCTCTTTTGTCGTTATTGACGCGAAAATTACGCACGTTATATTCGACCTGGACGGCACACTGATCGACACCGGTACGGCACACTACCTTGAGTTAGCCGACCGGCTTTCCTGGTCGCATTTCCTGATCGACGCAGGGCACACTTCTTTGAATTTCTCTCGAGTCGCGCTCGACCTTTGGAGTTCATGAGAAGTTTTGCCGACACTAGTTGGGCGAACACCCTTGAATCGCCCGATCCCATTTCACTCGCATTCCCCACCGTCGGGTTCATGCACTGAACGGACGCGTCCGGTTCACGACACTGAATGGAACCGTCGGTTCATGACACTGATGGGACCCGTCGGTTCATGACACTGACGGGACCCGTCGGTTCATGACACTGACGGGCCCGCCGGACCGGTCAACTTTCAGCCTCTCCACCCCGTCAACCCAGGCCTCGAGAATGCCATACTGCAGGCGATTCACCCGCGCTGATACGCATCATCCAGCATCAGATAAACTAGAAGCCGTCAGCGTATCCGGCTAAAAGTACAGAGATTTCCTACCCGTTTACTTGAAGTACGGAGGTGGCGAGGTTGCTCTTTGCCACGTCAGCCTCCCTCTTCTCACCCACCCCCTCTCACCGTCTTCCCATTCACACCTGAAAGTTCGGTGTCGGGGTGGCAAGGGTTCGGGTGGAGCGGTATGGCAAAGCATGGATTGGCGAAGGGAGGTGGTTGAAGTGATTGGCTGCCCTTGTTACTCCCTGCCTCCCTCCTCTCACACTCCTTTCGTGAACCTAACCCCACGCAACCCTCAAATACCCCCCCCAGAGAGCACGGTGACATAGTTAGCGAGGATACTGGTAGAACGGTACGGCAAGACGTGGACGGGCGAGGGAGCAGAGGCGCATATCAACAGGCTGGTGGCTTGATTGGGCGCTCGTTTCCCCTTATTCCCCTTCCTCCCTCTCACCCGCCTCCTTCACACCAGAGAGTGCGGTGACGGAAGTGGCAAGGATACTGGTGGAACGGTACGGCAAGACATGGACGGGCGAGGGCGCAGAGGATCGTATCGGCAAGCGGCCAATCGACGGCGCTCGTGCCACGGTGCAGCGATACGGGCTGCCTTGTACTCCGGAGGAGTTGCTAGCGCAGAGCCACGTGCTGGTGGAAGAGAGGTGAGTCCGAGGGATGAATGGGCTGCACGTGGGGAAACGGGTGCATTGGCAAGTGGCCGATTGATGGCGCTCATGCCACGGTGCAGCGATACGGGCTGCCTTGCACTCCGGAGGAGTTGCTAGCGCAGAGCCACGTGCTGGTGGAAGAGAGGTGAGTCCGAGGGATGAATGGGCTGCACGTGGGGAAACGGGTGCATTGGCAAGTGGCCGATTGATGGCGCTCATGCCACGGTGCAGCGGTACGGGCTGCCTTGCACTCCGGAGGAGTTGCTAGCGCAGAGCCACGTGCTGGTGGAAGAGAGGTGAGTCCGAGGGATGAATGGGCTGCACGTGGGGAAACGGGTGCATTGGCAAGTGGCCGATTGATGGCGCTCATGCCACGGTGCAGCGATACGGGCTGCCTTGCACTCCGGAGGAACTGCTAGCGCAGAGCCACGTGCTGGTGGAGGAGAGGTTAGTCGAGGGGGTGGGAGATAGGGTGGGCAGGGAGTAAGGTGCATGGGGGATGGTTCATGCCACGGTGCAGCGATACGGACTGCCATGTACCCCGGAGGAGTTGCTAGAGCAGAGCCACGTGCTGGTGGAGGAGAGGTGAGTCGAGGGGATGGATGGGTGGGATGCATGGGGAATGGGGAGGGGAGTGAAGCGGCATGGGAGGCGCTCAACGCCACGGTGCAGCGATACGGGTTGCCTTGCAGTGTTTGCAGTGCGGACGAGTTGCTAGGAGTTGCAAGAGCAGAGCCACGTGCTGGTGGAAGAGAGGTGAGGTGAGTCCGGGGAGTGTGTGGGCGTGGGGAATGGTCAGTGAGGGAGAGAGATGGATGGATGGATGGGGGCTAGAGGGAGCGAGTGGGTGGGTGGGTGGGTGGGGCTGGGGTGCATGGGACAGGTTTCTCGCCACAGTGCATGGGACAACTTCTTGCAGGGGTGCATGCGTGGGACACGTTCTTGCCCTGCCACGGTGCATGGGGCTGTCTCTTATGCCTTTTCCCCTCTCCCGTGTGTTCAGGTGGAGCCAGGCCAAGCCCCTCCCAGGAGCCCACCGTCTGATGCAGCACCTGCAGGCGTGCGGCATCCCCATGGCCGTAGCTTCCAGCTCGCCCCGACGCAACGTCAACATCAAGCTCTCCTTCCACGCAGGTCGTGTGCAAATTCTCTGGGAAATTCAGAAAAGTCCCGAGTAAGTCTCAGGTTGAGTTTTGAGACGTCTCAAAAGTCCCAAGTAATTCTCAGGTTGCAGCCTGCTCCTGCTGCTGCTGCCGCCATGCCACTCAGTGGAAACTTCTGGGCAAGCTTTGTTGCAGGGTGCAGCAGCAGCATCTCACAGCATGCTGCATGCCAGCCAGTTGCATGCAAGCTCCCATCCCCCATGTAACCGCACCGCTCTGCCCTTCCCCTTGCAACGACCAGGATGGACAGACATGCTGCAAGTGCTGGTGGGAGGGGATGAGGTGGAGCACGGCAAACCACGCCCTGACATGTGAGTGTTTGTCTGTGAGTGTTTG